ATAAGTTTGGTCCTGGGCCCCTGGACCCATCCCCTACTCCCTAAAAGGCCCCATACCCTATCTCGTTCCTTATTTTCTTTTGCAGTATTTCATTTTAAATAGGAAGCTATCATGCTAAAAAGAGAAAGTTCAGCTTCCAGCATAATCTTTATCTCTGAAAATAATTTTGGGCTTTGCTTACATCTTGGAAACTTTCTTGAAAAATAAATATGATAGAGACAGTAACCTGAAGCTCTATTTGGAAGTTTACCCAAAGAGAGAGACCAACAGTTGAGGGGTACAGATAACCCTGGGAGGTTAAAGGGGTAAATGAGGAGCAATCTTACTAGTTTGATTGTTGCTAAAAGGCTGTTTGTAATTGGCCACACCCACCATGGTACTCATTTGTGAGAGCATCAATAACCTGTTCTCAAAAACTCAAATCTGCCTTTCTCAGTCCCCAAAGATGAAACTAACTGGAAAGGCATTTATACATTGTAAAACATTGGCCTATCTCCCAAGTGGGCCAATGTTTTACAACATTCTCTGCACCACTGTACCTCCAAAGGCAGCTTTCACAGAGACTCAATGATCAATTCTGTAATGCTTGGTGAACCTCATACCAGGTTGGTGCTCTTTGGATTTCTGCTAGAGAAACTTCTGCTGCTAATGTTGTGGAAATTGCCATTTTCCTAACAGAGCGGGCCATGATATTCGCAGATACCTATAGACAACTGGCAGAATATGCCAGAGCAATGCACTCGCTGATCCTATGAGCACACTGTTCTCTGCCCCAAAACAAAGCTGCAGGTGTCCTGCAGTATCTGGAGGATTCTTTCTTATTTACTGAAGACAGGTATTTCTTCTTATTCTTACTCTCTTCCAGCACCATATTAGTGGACTCAATAAACAACTTCTTGTCCATGAAGAGTTTGGATGCTAGAGTGGCCCTGGATTGGTGTTCAACTTGCCAATGCATGAGCCACAGCTCTTGATGAGTACCTACTCCTAGTGCCATATAGCAAGCTGTAAACTGAAGTCTGCCCAAAGTAGTATCAGCAATCAACTCCCGTCTTGGCAATTTATTGTCCTAAGGCAGACTCACAGGTCTGGATTATCAGGGTTGTTGAAGCAATAGAAGTGATCGCCAAGTCACTAACCCCTCCAAAAGGAAGTGTCTTCATGAACCAACATCCTGTCTGTCCTATATTCTGTAGGATTTGCAAAAAGCTCATTCTCCTCTTTCTGGACTACAATCTAAAGATGAGGTCTACTGCGGGATAGCTGCAGTCTCTTGTTATGTTGTGTGCAAGCTGTTAATCATGAAAGAAGTCATAATATGATAACATATTTGACCACTAGGGGAGGCCTTGAACAAGCGGAATCAGGTTTAATTTTTTGCAGAGTAACATTCATCTTAAATGCTTTGCAAATTGGGCAGTAGGGTCTTGATTCAGACTATGCGTACTTTAAAAGTCTTTGCCCATATTGAAAAAGTGCTAATTCATTTGTATGTCAAAATAAGGCAAGCACACATGTCTATCTCTTTACAGTCAAATCCATACTTCTCAAGACTTTCTAAAATGTATGTATAATCTATCTTTTGCCAACACCTGTTCTGTATGTGGAAGTCTTTGTTAGGCTGGTTCCATGGTTACTGGTAGGGCTAATCTGAATTTATTTCAGGTTTGTAGAAAAATGCTAAAGATCTCTTCATGGGGTTTTATAAGAACAATGCAAGTATATATCAGGATCTTTTTGGTATCAATTTTAACACTATAAAGCAAAAAGTTCAAAACCAGGTAATTCAGAGTGAGCATATGCTTTCTGTTCTAAATAAGAACGTCAAGATGTCACAATGGGCTTTGGGTTCATAGGACATGATCCAAATCACAGTATACAAGACATCTCATGTGAATGTTCTTCTTCCTTCAAGAAAAGGCAAGTCCCTGGTTTCATTAGGAGCAGTAATTCATTTTAGGAGCTTCCCCAGGCCCCCCACCTCTCCACCACTCATTAGCAGTAAGAAAGCAATAAAGTGAGTTAATTCTCTACTGGATATGCATGCATTTAAGTGTGGACTAAATACAGGTATTGCTATTCTTAAATTTCCTTCCTACTTTGAAATAGGGAGGCTTCTTATGCTGGCTGGCATTTTCCTTCTTGGACTATCTTTTCTCTGACTGGCAGGACATGGTCTCCCTCTCTTGGCTTCCCAGAAACCATCAATATTAAAAATTTTGGATCTCCAATTTTCTTTTAGTGTGTCTTTGGACCCCCCCCCCCCTCCATTTCAAGAGTCTTGCCAACACTTTGAACCAACAACAACTGAGCTCTTCCTGGAGCTAATGGACCGCTGAAGCCGCACAATGTTTCCACGAATTGCTGAAGCTGCGTGTTTTTAATATACAGCCTGTTTTTGGTAGTTCATTAAAACATTGCACGGCTTCAGCAATGCCATCCGCCAAACGTCGTCTGCCATTTTTAGTATCAGTCCTTTTGTAAGTATGAGTTCCGATTTACATACAAATTTGAGTTAAAGACAGAGTTAGGAATGGAACTTATTCTTAATTCGGGGACTGCCTATACACCAGATACACGGATGGTGATAGCCTATTGATACAAACTGTTTAGATCAGAATGTTTGATTTAAAAATGGCTACTTGTACAATAAATTTTAGAGCTACTTGTGTAAATTTTTCTGCTTAAGAGAAAATAATTTTTTAAAAAGTGTTGTCTCCTAGTTAGGTTTGGGAACCTTCTCTTTTTTTCATAGCCCAGTGCATTATTCTTAAAATAACTGAAGTTTACACCACTTACAGGCCCTGAAAGCATACTTTGTACATGATTGTTATCATGTACTGAATTTGTATATGGAGTTAGGACATGTTGTGTCCTAATTAGCTTTTCCCCTGAATTTTACAGTAATGAACCAAAATAGGTACCAATTAAAACGGAGTATTTAAAAGAGAGGTAGTATGCCAGTTGCCTTAATCTACTGCACCTCATCACTGCTTAGGCAAAAACCAGCAGAAATGTTCTGGAGAAATGACATGTTAGCTCTTTTCATTCTAGGCATGCTTTTAAAACTAGCAGTCTCTTTCATATAGGGGAAGCCTTAATATACATTTTAAAAAACCCAATCTTAATTGCTACAATTGTGGGAAACATTTCACAGTTTTGTTTCTATCCAATAGTCATAAAATATAAATGTATCCTAATCATTGTACTTTTGAAATTGGGACTTTTGAACTAAAATTATAATGGAATTAAGCTTTGCTCATACATTTTATATTTTAAATATTCCCTAAAAGAGGATGCCATCAGCTTATAATAGTGGCTAAAACAAGTATAGTTTGATGTGCTAAGGAGTAATAAGCCTTAGTAGTAGCTACTCCAGAATGGAATTCGGCTAATGTACTTTCACCTTGAAATAAGTATTAGCACCTCCACTGGAAACTATACTATGCTTATCCAAGATTATCTGACTTACTATGTTTAAAAGAAAGAAAAAAAACTGCTCAGACATTTAGAAACTTCCAGTCTTTCTAGAAGTTAGAAATGCAGTAAGTCAATTAGTACAGATATTCTTAAAGCATCTGATTAAAAAAAAATAATTTGCAATTTACTTCTACACCAGAGCCACAGTTACTCCCACTTTTTACCTAGTAAGGTTTATCGTATAGTTTCCTAAACTATAAACACAATGTTCGGGTTCTTCACATTCTCCAGTTGTAATATTATCAGCAGATAAGCTTTGCTTTTAATAAGTTGATTTGCCAACTCAAATAGCCCTCTCCTAAGACAATCAAATAATGAAGTGCACACACATGTACCTTCATATAATCTATCAGAACTTGCTCTGCCCAGCAGAGCAAATGGTTTCCTGCAATAATTGCCTTTATATAAATGTACATTCAAAACTCGTTGACATTCAGAAACTATAGTTATTGTGTTCCATCCATCTCTTGTTCACCACTCCTATTTTCCGTCCCTATTTCTTTAAAATGTCATAGTTTAAAAAGGCAGAGGAAAAAAACCAAGGAACAAAAATAGGTATGCAAATGAAAGTCATACATATAGTGAAGTTCCAAACAAATAAATGGAGACCATATTTACAAATGAAGATAAGTAAAATTCTATTTTGGTTATTATGTATGTTGTACACTGTTATGAAAAGCAGCATAATTTATTTTTAAAAATAAACAAACAAATCAAGTTACATTTCAAAAAAAATTTCTGGCAGCACTTCCAATGCTGAGACAAACAGCTGTTTAATTTGAAAAGATAAAGTTTTACTATCAGAATATAGAGGAACAGAAAGACCAAATAAATATGCACTTCTGACAACAGTAAATTAAAAATGTGCACCAGTTTCACAGGCACTTCACCTGTTGCATATAGCAAATGTGTATGGAGGGGCCATTCTGGCTCCTTTTTACTTGTAATATGCGCATTTCCAAACATCTCTTTAATATCTTTATATACACATTATTTTCTGGTCAAATCTTAAATCCACATTGTTCAAAGATTATAGACAGCCAGTTTGGCTAAGTTAAGGCACCAGGCTAGAAACCAGGAGGTGGTGAGTTCTAGTGCCGCTTTAGGCACAAAGCCATCTGGGTGACCTTGGGCCAGTCACTCTCTCTCAGCCCTAGGAAGGAGGGAATGGCAAACCACTTCCGAAAATCTTGCCAAGTAAACTGCAGGGACTTGTCCAGGCAATCGCCAGGAGTCAACATTGTCTTGATGGCACCAAAAAAAAAAAGATTCTTCCACAAAATCTACTCTCCAGTTAAGATCGTTTTCAGAAGCTCTAGATGATCCCCCTTTGGACAGCCTCTTATGGAAGTGTAAGTCTACTGTTTACTTTTGTTTTTTTAAAAAAAACTTTCAAGTGCCATCCTAAATCTTTTAGGGATATTTTAGACTCGTTTTAAAATGGCCTCATCTACTGCTTTGTTCTGCATCTTATCCACTAACCTCACTTCTGTATTGTTGTTCTTACTTTGGTGTGTTAGCTATAGGTTGGTGGGCTTTTTAAACTACACTTTACTGCACGTGGTTGTCAGAAGTTGTTCCTGGATGAAGTCAACTGATTGTGCATGTCCAGAAGCAGCTCCAAAGAGGAGCCCAGAAAAAGATGCGACCATGTAAGTATATACAGTTTGAAAGAATTTGGTTTATACACACTCCTGTGTATTCTGAAGGATCTAAGGAAACACATGTAGATTTTAAAGCTGTATTATTACATCGCATTGAAAGTTCTTTTGTTTCAGGGACAGGCAACCTTTTTGGAGGCCACACCTGAAAGACTAGGTTAGGGACAGATTGTCTTGGAGAAAATCTATCTATGTGGTCACTAAGAATTGACAGTGACTTGATGGCACATAACCATCAATTGTTGCTTTTAAGTGTGATACACTTATTTAGGGCTTACAATATAGTTGCTGTGTGTTTCCTGTCTCAAAACTGTTGGAAACTATTGTCAGTTTTCAGCAGTCATGGTCACAAAAAGGGAACTTGGAGGCCACATGCTGCTCTGTGGCCACAGACTGTCTACCTCCACTCTGTATTACAGAATCTGTAGGATGTAGAATGAATTGGATTTCTCACTGTTACACTTAGAAAGGCTTAACTCCTATACCCTGTCCCACCCAACAAGACTGCAGGAGCCCAGAAATGCCAAGGAGTTTAGTTTCCCCTCTCCAAGGTCAGACAGAATGATCAAACCTATAAGGGAAGGTTACAATTTCAGAACATTTCCATCAATTCTCCAAGAAATTTTGTCACTGGATGTTTTGATTTCCACAGGAAAAAGGTCGTGTGGATATAGGAATGACCAAGAAAGGATGTTTTAAATGTTGTTTTAAAAAAGTAAAGCATGGGGCAGAGGGGAGAGAAGACATTTCAAGGGGGATTGCAGGAGTAATTTTATTTTTTAATATAAGTACAAATGGCAGTGTGGAAAGATTCTACAGGAGAATTAGGAGGATAATCCATAAGGCTTTGGAGGACTGCCCACAACCACAGATAGTAGCTATACACCACTGGTATAAGATCTAATTAGAGTATATGGCACATGAAGTGGATATTATAGCACTTACAGTAACTCACTGTAGTGACTTTGAGAAAAATAAGCAGGTGATCAGTAATCAGAATATCTCAGAAATGCATGCTGCACCCAGTATCTGCTGATGCAATATGACTTTCCCTTACTTTGCCCTATTCTGCACATAGCTTCACATCTGTTACAGAAGATCCCCAATGAGAGATGCATGCGAGAAGGAGAATCTGAAATGTCATGCTATCAGTGGGCACACGTAATTATGGTCTTTTACCGCTGTACTTGTGGAGAGAGCCACAGAGATTACCTTGGAGCAAATATACAAAAATAGTTACAAAAACCAAAGCATGTGTTAAGCCCAGGAAACAAAGAATGCATGAAAAAGAAGCTAAAACTGGCTTCACCCTAACATACTGGGGTATGAGATGGAGGGAAAGGAAAACACATGCAGACTTTCAAGATTCTGTTACCACAGCCTATACCAATAAAGCATAGTTCCAGTCAAACTTAGGGAGTTTCTTTCCTGATCTGGCCTCCTTCGAAGGACTGACAGTACTATTCTAGCTACTTGGTAAAAAGTCTTTGACATTTATTTCCCAGTAGACACGTAGATATAGGATTGTCTTATAGCACTTTATGGCATGCATTTTTGCCAGCTGAAGCTTACTTTATATTTAAGTACTTATGTATATTCACTTTCTTAAAGACTTCTTTCAATTGTTGCAGACTACAACCAATCTACATATCATACCTAAGGACCAACTGTATTTCAATCTCCACTTCCATGTGCAAAAGATGAGCTACCTGTGACCAAGTACTCTCATAGATGTTTTTCACAGGTTTTTCCATCAATATCAGCTGGAACAAAATCAGTCATCTGAAAAAGCCAACCATTAGCTCCTATGGAGTATGTAAAAATACTTTCCAAACAGTACAACACAGAAATTAAGTGATTACTGATGGGAACAGCAATAATTAATCCTAGTTCTTTTGTTTTTTTGAAAGTCTAACGGAAATGAATATCCAAGGCTATTTTTCAAGACTAATCTTATTTTATGGTACTTTTTCAGACAAAATTTCCAATGGCTAATTTTAAGAGGCAAGCCCAGAAGATGCATAGGTCTGCTCTATTTTTGGTTGGTATCTTGTAGGAGAAAAGTGGCAACTTGCCCTTTCCTATTACTGTACTGATTAAATTTCTATAGAATAGTTGAGAACAAAAGCAAGAATCTTTTGATAATTTTGTTGTTGTTAAAGTATTTTAGCACTTCCTAATTGACATTTAGGAAAGAGAGCTTGTTCATCCTTGGTTCTTTTTTAAAAAAAATTCAAACAAACACTCTTTCAACAAAAATGCTGCATATAAACTATGTCATACAAGCTAAAAAAAGACATTTAGTCCTTTCTCTTCAATAAACTGACTCTACATGTGTGTTTTGGAGGAAACATCTGGAGTTAAAAAACTAGACCAACCTATATCAGTCTTCCCCTTTTCAAGTTAGTAATGCAATCTGAACAAAGATCCGTTGATAGCGGTTTTTATTTTAATGGTGCTTTTAACAATAATATATGTATTAATGTTCAAGTACCTCAATTTGAAGTTTCAAATATTTTTTTTTTAATAAGGTTAGTAAATAGTCATGTATTGGTTCACACGAGATAAGAATTTTCTGCCAACAGGCACAGAAACTTTACACAGACTTTTGATGAGGACTTGGAACTTTTATGAATTGTTTCTAAGAGTGATTTATTTTGGTCAAGCATACAAAAAAGCATTACCCTGCCTCCAACCGTATACCTAAATTCACCAGATACATCACCTTACACTGGAGAGACAACAGAGAGCGCATACGTTTTGCAAAACCAACCAACCACAACAACAACAAACACTATGTTGCGGAACAGGAATTCTTGTTTGTCAGAGACAAACAGGGAAATGGCTAGTTAAAACCTGGGAAGATGGTAAAGCATGCCTTATTAGGAAGCAGTGTAGGAGTGAGGGAAGGTCTCAGAGAGCATGGTGAAAGGACAGACATGTTGATTACATAGCAGCCAACACTGTCATCTAGGCTATCTAGAACAGCCCAATGAATAGGGCTATTCTAGTCAGTCTTTAGTACCATGCTTTGAAGGAGCTGAGACATGCCTGCAGTTATCAGGACCTCTTCCTGTCTGCTGTGTTTCACGCTTTCCCTTCCTTGCTCAAATTGTTCTGCAATGTCTCACCACAACACTTACCTTAAAAACTACCAAGAGTTAACAGATCCATCTTATAGTGTGTATAAGTTAGCAGATCTGTCAATAATGCACTATAGGTTAGCAGTAACATCAATAGTGTACTAATTGAAAGATGCATCTTGTGTGAGCTCTGAGGAGTGAATCACTAAAGACACTTGCCAATTTATTATAAACAGGAAATGTGTTACATGAGGTAGCTATTGCCACTCTCTAGGTCTCTTTTTCATAGTGCCTAACCAGAACACGCTAAAGATGCCTAGCAGTTAAGGTTATTCAGTTTAAAGAGAGTTGTTACTGTCATTACAAGAAATCTGTAGCAGAAAAGAAATTGTAAAAAAACAGAACTAGCACTTAATTTCTTTTTAACAAAAGCTTTTACATAAAAGCACTATTATGCAGCATCAGTGCACATGAGTTGTCCCTTTACTTGGATGAACAAAGGGCCTTTAAATCTAAATATCTGATGTAAAACAAAGCATATACAACAAACAGTTTTTGCTATTTACCATTGTGTTAGTGAATATGATTCTTCAACATTTTCTCCTACTACCAGGCAAGACTCTGAAGCCCACAGAGATCAAGTCAAAATTAAATGATGCCAGGAAAAAAAATCCCTCAATAATGCTTTTCATAAAAATGCTTATCTAGGCCAATTATATGCTGCTATTTTGGATTTGAAACATCTCACTGAGTTTGCAAGATCTCTATGTCAATGTACACTCAGGTATAGCTTAATACGTTCAATTTCTTGAGTTTCTCTTAAGAGAAAATAGTAATAATAAAATATAAAGATATTTCTCCCTTTTGCCCCTTCCCCAATGTTCTATCATTGCCAAAGCACAATAAACATGCTATCCAATAAATACTGTGGTATATAATACTTTATTACATCTATTAAAATTTGACTAGAAGCTGCATTATTTTGCAGCTTTTCTTCTTATTTATAATATAGGCAGCAGTAATTACCTACCCTACAGGATTTCAGTGTGGACTGAATTTGACTGAAAAAAAACAAAAGAGCAAATGTGCATGTGATATGTTGACTTCAGTAATTTTTATCCTAAGTAACACTACAAACAATTACAGGTAGTCCTCGACTTACGATTGGGACCAGAACTTCCATTAGTAAGCAATGTGGTCATTAAATGAGTTGCGCCTGATTATTTATTTATTTGCCATGGTTAAGCGAATCATGTGGTCATTAGGCGAATCTGGCTTCCCCCACTGACTTTGCTTGTCAGAAGCCCCCTGGGAAGGTCGCAAATGGTGACCACGTGACCCTGGGATACTGCAACCGTCATAAATACATGCTGGTTGCCAAGTGCCAAAATTTTGATCATGTAGCCACAGGGACGCGGCAACGGTCATAAGTGCAAGTACCCATCGTAAGTCATTTTTTCAGTGCTGTCCTAACTTCGAACAGTCACTAAACAAATGGTTGTAAGCCGAGGACTACTTATACAGCACATTAACATTTATATAAACAATCCTTGTCCCCCTTTTAATTAAAATGATTTCAACTTAATTATGCCAGCCTTGTTCCTGAGGTATGTATTAATAATTAGAATCATATGTACCTCGACTTCAAAAATACAAAGGATTTTCCATTTCTTAAAAAGGGGGGAAAAAAGCAATGGTAATGACATTTTTATAATTTCACACTGCTGAAAAACTATAAAGGAAAAGTATGAACAGGTATGAGAATGGAGGATAAATAAACTTTGCTTTTTGCAAGACACTTGGAAAATGAAGATTTGATGCAAGTCTGAAGCATTTCTTACAGACAAGGGCCAAGGCAACATAATCAAATCCCAACCATTTCTGTATACACACACATTTACAGAACTTTGATTATGACAATGCAACTACTACTTTCTCTCGTTTCTCTTTTTTGATCCCCCCCAACATTGCAAAAGACATAATTTCTGCAGTCCTGTTTTTCTTTTCATCCCCCCACAAATATTAATTCTAGCACAGTATATAGATTATATCCCTATATGATTTTGACTTTGATGAGTTGATATTTCAGAGTGATAATGGATCAGGGCCACCAGAAAGTAAACAGTAGAGTGGAGAAAAATCTAAATGTTAGCATTTTTCAATATGTAGAAAAATATTGGTAGCATCAATATCACAGCATTCTTAAGCAAATCAGCAGTAGAGTTTCTTTTTTTAAGAAGGAGAGCTTTTCCATAAATATTTGTTAGGAAAAATTCCACGATTGAATGAGTTTGCATCCATCCACAATATTAACGCCAATCTCATCAAAAGGGAATAAATATGACCTTTTAATCAGATTTCATTTATAAAGCAACATTGAAAGAGGAAGCCTTAACTAGAGTTGAATATGGTATTTTCCAGTTTGAAATCAGAGTGGAATTCTCTCTTTCACTAAACCCCATAAGACTATCTCATAATACAACCCTGTACTGCAGTAATACTACTCTGAGCATCCTAAGTTTTTTACACAAAGGGACAGAAGTCATTCATTCATGGTGGTGTTTGCTTCTACATCTCTTGCAGCTGGTCAACGCAGGGTATTTCCACTCCACAGCAACAGTTGGAACAGACTGCTAGGTTCCAAGAATTATCAGATTTCCATTCTCAGAAGTAACCATTGAGATGGTTACAGCAAGATCATTCAGTCAAAGGGGCAAACTTCAACTATTAATAAAGTGAAACACAAATGCAAACTTGTTTACTTAGAAATCCTGAATGTATAGCGCAATGCAGTTATGGCAAAGTTATCACCTAGAACAGAAAGTAATCACAGCAGACAAATTGTGCTATTCATCTACTTGTCAGCTCTCAGGAACTTTACATAATATTCAGCTAGTGCCAACTATCAGTGAAAGATATGTGCCAACTACAGTGGCAATGAATTGTGTGTTCAACAATATATAACGGTCTTGTGCTTCCCCAGTGTGCATCTCATTTGACCTAAGGAAACGCACAGCCTGAAACCTGTCAATGATACTTCTACAATGTGCACTGAATACAGAAGAATTACTTGTACAAGAAGGCTGGTAAATCAAAGGAATTTAATAGTTATTAATAATTCTCCTACTTAATAATAATTTATTAGATTATTAATAAATGTTCTACTTAATGATAATAATTTATTAAACTTGTATGCCACTTCTGTATGTCAGACTTTCTCTATCCTGGTGACATCCAGATCTGTTAGGACTAAAACTTTCAATATACCAAACTAGCATGGAAATAGATTGGGGGACAGCTATACTTACCCTAGAAATAAGTCTTACCAAAATCACAAAGAGATTTGTTTCTGAGAGGCCACCTGAATGTTTTACTTCTAAAATAATCAGTCAAATAAATACATTCAAATAGTTTTAGCTATTGGAAAATATATTCATGTAGCACATAAAATTATTATGGTGTCCTTTTTAAAAATGTTAACTAGCACTAAATATGATAGTTTCAACTGATTAATTCCATTAGTTTAGGACCATTAATTAATTAATTAGGAGCATCAGAATATTTTCCGGACCCTACATCATTACTTAGAGACAACAAAAAGTCTCAGAAAGATGTGCTACAAATGGCTGTGTCACAGCTGGGAAATTCCCCTCCTCCTTTGCTAAAAAGATTAAGTAAATTTCAGAAGCACTGTAAGATCTTCATATTTAGACAACAGAGTTTTTAAGTGTTCTTGTATGAATTGAGTGTCTATGTGTTTATGTTTGTGCAAGGATTCACTTATTGCAATAAATTTTGGTTTAGGATATAGCGATTTTAACAATCAAGTACAATATTTAATTGCACATCTTTTCTTTTGAAACAAAATTTAAAGTGAGTAGACTGTAGCTATACTGAAACAAAGTAAGTACCCTAATCCTCCAACTGACAAAGTTGTGGCTTTGAATCTATAAACTCTACTATTAAATATAATTCAAACACCTTTTTCATTCCAAGCTATTAAAATAAGATAATTCCTCAGATTTTAGCCTCCAAACTGATTTCATGGTCGTTTATCATAAACACACAATTCTAAGCAAGGTACAGAGGCTTATAACCAGCTGCACTGTAGACATCTGGGTTCTTTCACAAGAGGCAGCATATCTGTAAATAGCATTAAATAAAGATTTAAGAGGGCACAGTGGTACAGAATTATCATCCTTGGAAAGGATTCAGCAGTTGCAAACAACCACATTGCAGGAAAAAAAAGGTGATCCCTTTAAATTCCTCTAAGTGAAACACAGCTAACCTATTCCATCTTGTAAATATTACCTCAATTAAAAGGTTTCTGTGATTACGATTAGGGCCTACATGCGGCGGGGGAGTGAGGTGGGAATGTTAAATAGCCCAGTATTCCATGTGACATAAAAAAAAAAAATCCAAAAATAGACAAGTTGAAAATGTGTGTGTTCTTTAGTTTCAGCAGGAATTACTGGAGTAAACACAATGTTTACAGTGGCTGATGATGCATCAATATATTACCAAAATCTTTCTAATCAGGAAAAATATGATTTTGTTACTTTATTAATTTAAATCCATCAATTTGACATCTGACATATTTCCGGTATTATGAACATTTACCAGCAGGTGGAGTCAAAGAACAGTTTAAAGACAGGCACCAATTTCACTAGAGTTTGTGCATGGAAGGCGGAGGGTTAATTATTGGCCTTAGTCATATCTTTGCTGAAAAACAAAATTTATTGGAAAATAGTTGGACTAAAAACTTTTGTTATGAATTAACATCCTTTCTTGTTAAGATTAATATTTCTTACCTTACTATGCAAGTCTATCAACTCATCAGTGCAAAAGTACATGCCACACAAAAAAATCTGTATTGTGAATGGCCACTTCCTATGGATAATTTTCACTGACTCTATCTTCCACATGCCATTTTCCTTTAATATTTCCCAACTTCCCTCCTTCTCCCAATTTTGGATTTATATCCAACACTCTCCTCTCCTGATTCTTGATGTACGCTATAAAATATATGTATGCCTTTAAGGTTACTCAACTGTTGTTGTTGCAACAGGTTTCCTCATATTTGGTTGCTATTCAGTGACAATTTTGTTGCTCCCTTGTATATTTAAAGAATATGTGCAGTTCTTTGTAAGGTCAGGTCTTTAGTTAGTATCTGAAAGTGATTAACACAGCAATAAAACTGCTGCAATAATTATTCTTTAGCTTTTTTCAAAATTGCCACTTCCCCCAAAGTGGTACTTTACAGTATAAAACATCCAGTATACTTTTCAGTATAACAGATTTATAAAATCAGTAACAACATTAAATGACAAAATTTAAAATAAGCCAGTAACAGCAAATTAAAAGTAAACTACTACATTAATTAACCAGGAGCTCTTAAGAGTATCATCTGTAAGTGTGTTTGTGTCACCTGTTCAAGTTTAGAGTTTAATCATATAGACAACCCGCTCCTCTGTAAAGGTTTGGGGCTACAACTTGAAAAATTACAAACCATTAGCATTATTAATAAAGGCCAATATAAGTTGCAATCTAAACCATATAGAGGGAATCAACTGCCTTTTCCTATCAAATTCCCAGCCTCAAGCACAATGCCTCATCTTCAACTCTTCTCCCTTCAATAACAATGCCTCTAGGAACTTCTCCCTACTTCTCTAATTCCTCCACGAATTGGCCTTTTTCTTCTCATCAGACTCTCTCTCCCCCAAATATGGCCATCCTTTCCCTTTCCAGTGAATTCCAGGCATGCTAATGGGGTGGAAGAAACTTTCTCTCCTCCTTCTCGCTAACAGTCCTCCTATAATGGAGCCATTCCAGTAGCACCAATGGTTCACACCTCTGCATGCAGATGTGTCTTCAAGACGAATGTTCTGAA